CTCCTCCTCCTCCTCCTCCTCCTCCTCCTCCTCCTCGTCGACAATCCCCCTGTAGGGGGGACACGCCCGACTTAAGGGCAGTAGGAAGGCGGGGGTCTTAAGGCATCTTTGGAGCATTTTTGGGGCATCTTTTGAGCATTTTTTTGGGGGCGTCCTTGGAGCACTTTCGGGGCATTCCTCATTCTTCGTCGACGGTCCCCCTGTAGGGGGGACACGCCCGACGCAAGGGCAGCAGGAAGGCGGGGGTCTTCGAGGCAGGCTGCCCCGCAGGGCCCCCCGGGCGTCGCCGCAGGCGGCCACCCCACCCCGCCGGTCGGGGGCCCGCCCGCCCCCCCGGAGGGGGCCGCGCCGCTCGCCCCGCGTGACCCGAGGCCCGGGCGACGGCGTCTGGCCGGGGCCACCCTGGGCTCCAGTCGGGCTCCTCCTCCTCCTCCCTCCTCCTCCTCCTCCTCCTCCTCCTCCTCCTCCTCCTCCTCCTCCTCCTCCTCCTCCTCCTCCTCCTCCTCCTCCCCCCCCTCCTCCTCCTCCACCTCCCCCTCCTCCTCCTCCTCCTCCTCCACCTCCTCCTCTTCCTCCTCCACCTCCTCCTCCTCCTCCTCCTCCTCCACTGCTCGGGGGCATATTCCAAAATACCCCAACAAATAGTCTGGGCACTGCTTTTGGAGTCATTTTTTTTGTTACCTCTTTTCGGGCCCGTCCCTCTGGCTCGGGGGCGGCAGAGGGGGGGGGGGATGACTGGGGTGTGTGTGGATATCGTGGCGTGGGCCGTGATGTTTCCCCAGATTTCCTGGCGCCTCTTCTCATTTCGTTGCGTCCCTGGCCCCCCCGCGGGGTCGCGCACATGCCGCCGGCCATGATTTGCACCCCCCCCCTCTTGGACGCCCCCCTCTTTGCCGCCCCCGATCTACAGGGGGGCATATTCCAAACATAGTCCAACAAATAGTCAGGGGACTATTCTTGGAGTTTTTTTTTGGGGGGGGTGGGTGGGTGGGTGTTTTTTTTGTTGTCTTTATTTTTCGTCGAAAAGAAATTCCAAGACTTATGATGTTCCAACCTACTTTAGCCTGGATCACCAGAAAGAATTTCGAGCGCCAGAAAAGTGCCCCCAAGCTCGAGGGTTTTCACGGGTCGGGCCCTGGGAGGCACTCGTCCGACACTGTTTCGACACTCTTTGGACACTCGTTCGACACTTTTCCGGGTGCTCGAAATCATTTCTGGGATGCGGTCCTTAAGTACGATGGGAGCAACATAAGGCCAGGGTGGAGTGCAGCCAAGACGCTGGCAAGAAGGACCACTGTGGGCTCAGGAGCTTAGCTTCAAGTCGGGGCGCCCCTCTACAGGAGGAACGTTCAAAGATATTAAAGAAATCGTCAGGGGACGATTTTTGTTGACCAGTTTTGGGCATTTTGGGAGCATTTTCTGATTCTGTTTTCTTTTTCGACCAAAGTCCGCCTGTTGGGGGACATGCCCGACCTAAGCTTAGCTGCCCCGATATGCCCGTTCTGAAACGCAACACGTGATGTGTTCAAAGCGGCCGTGTTGACACGCTGCGTTTTTGGCTCGACGTATTGGCCCACGCGTTCGCGCCCGTACCGCGCCAGACCTACGTTTTCAGTCTGCGTGTTGAGCTCTGTGCCAGTACGCTGCGAGTTGCGTGTTTCGTATCGGGGCAGCAGAGTTCGGGAGTGGCTCTGGTTTTCAGGCCGTTCCTGAAGTCTGGGTCGGAAGGTCCACACATTATAAAGTTATTTGATTCTTTGGGGGGCCAAGATCCTTTCATGTCTAATTCTTCTATCCTGGGCCTCTTCCTGGCCACTAGGGGGCCAGGAACAATTAGAAACGAATGCAATTAGAAATGAACACGATTAGAAATGAACGACGTGTACTCGTTCCCGAGGCTCGCGGTGGCCAGGAAAGCCTGGTCGTCCCTTGCTCAGCGTTCCTTTCGCAGCACGATGATTGTACGGCAGGTTCGTGTCGTGTCGACCGGCGGCGACCCCGCCAGCGGCGTTCAATGTTGAACGCCGCGGGCGACCCAGAATCGTTTGATGTGGGACGATTTGGACGTTTAGGAAACGGCCGATCGTTCAAGGTTGAACGATGCCCGCGGTGTCAGAAACCAACGCCGAAGTCGGCACGACTCGAACCTGACGTGCAGACCTCCAAGTAGACCTCCTGGCCTTGGCCAGGAGGGCGCATGCACACCATCCCCCGTGTGCATCGATGGCCTTGGCGAGGTCTCTGGAGGGGAGGGTTTCTCCGAAGGGCTTTGGCGAACCGTCCTCCTCCTTCTCCTCCTCCTCCTCCTTCACCTCCTCCTCCTTCACCTCCACCTCCACCTCCTCCTCCTACTCCTCCTCCTCGAGTCGCCTACGGCCCTGGGGGAAACCGTGCACTCTGGAGGCGTTCTCTGGCGGTCTCTGGAAAGGCACCCTCGATGCCCTCCGAATACCTCCGAAGGCCCCTCGCCAGGCAGGCCGATGATGATAATACATCGCTCTCCAGACTCCCTCGCGCTTCGAACGATCACGGCAGAATGTCTTGGCAGTTTGTTGGCCTCTGAAAGGCCCTCCCTCAGTGGCCCCCAGGGCCGTCAATTACCTTGGCGAAGGACCCAACATTATGCGGGTGCGGGTGCCGCAAGGCAGGTGGGACGAAAGAGGGGCAGCTCCCTATGGGGCCGCGAAATTTGTGAGGAGTGTGCCGACGTGGGTGCGGTGACGCCATGTGGACCCTGTCACTCGGGAACTCGGTGGAGCTCCCCATGGGGCCACGAATCTTGTGATGGATGTGCTGGAATGGGTGCGGTGGTGCCATGCGAAGCCTGCCAGTAGGTCCTTCGGTTGAACTCCCTTTGGGGCCACGAGACGTGTGAGGGGTGTATCGAAATGGGTGCGGTGGCGCCATGCGAAGCCTTCTGCTGGGGGCCTTCGGTGGAGCTCCATTTGGGACCACGAATCGTGTGAGGGGTATGCCGGAATGGGTGCGATGGCGCCATGCGAAGCTTGCCACTGGGGCCTTTGGTCGAGCTCCGTATGGGGCCACGAACCGTGCGGGGGTGTGCAGAAATTTGTGCGGTGGCGCCATGCGAAGTCTCCCACTGGGGCCTTTGGAGCTCCCTATGGGGCCGCGAAGCGTGTGGGGGGTATGCCGAAACGGGTGCATTTGCGCCATGCGAAGTCTCCCAAAGGGGCCCTCGATGGAGCTCCCTATGGGGCCACGACACGTGTGAGGGGTGCGCCGACATGGGTGCGGTGGCGCTATGTGAACCCTGCCAATGGGGCCTTCGGTGGAGCTTCCTATGGGGCCGCGAATCGTGTGAGGAGTGTGCCAGGATGGCTACGGTGGTGCCATGCGATCCCTCCCACTGGGGCCCTCGGTGGAGCTCCCGTTGGGGCCACGAAGCGTGTGATGGGCGTGCCGAAATGGGTGCGGTGGCGCCATGAGAACCCCTCTGCTGGTGCCTTCGGTTGAGCTCCTTATGGGGCCAAGAAGCGTGTGGGGGGTATGCCAGCATGTATGTGGTGGCGCCATGCGAACCCGTCGAGCTTCTTGTGGGGCCACGAAGCGTCGTGTGAGGGGTGTGCCAAAACGGGTGCGGTGGCGCCATGCGAAGTCTCCCACTGGGGCCTTCGGTGGAACTCCCTATGGGGCCGCGAAGCGTGTGGGGGGTATGCCGAAACGGGTGCGTTTGCGCCATGCGAAGTCTCCCAGTGGGGCCCTTGGTGGAGCCCCCAATGGGGCCACGACATGTGTGAGTGGTGTGCCGTAAGTGGTGCGGTGGCGCCATGCGAACCTTGCCAATGGGGCCTTCGGTGGAGCTCCCTATGGGGCCTGTGAGGGGTGTGCTGGGATGGGTGCGGTGGCGCCCTGCGAAGCCTCCAAATGTGGCCTTCGGTGGAGCTCCCTGCGGGGGGTCACGAAGCGTGTGAAGGGTGTGCCGGAATGGGCGCGGGGCGCCATGCGAAGCCTTCCACTGGTGCCTTCGGCGGAGCTCCATTTGAGGCCACGAATCGTGTGAGGGGTGTGCCGACATAGTGGGTGCGGTGGCGTCATGCGAGCTCTACCAACGGGGCCTTCGGTTGAGCTCCTTATGGGGCCACCGAATCGTGTGAGAGGTGCGCCGGCTTGGGTGCGGTGGCACCATGCGAAGCTTCCCTCTGGGGCCTTCGGTTGAGCTTGTTTTGGGGCCACGAAGCGTGTGAGTTGATGCGGTGGCGCCATGCGAAGCCTCCCAGTGGGGCCTCTGGTGGAGCTCCCTGTGCAGCCACGAATTATGAGAGCGGTGTGCCGAAGTGAGCGCGGTGGCGCCATGCGAAGCCTTCCACTGGGGCCTTCGCTGGAGTTTCTTTCTGGGCCACGAAACGTGTGAGCGGTGTGCCGAAATTTGTGTGGTGGCGCCTTTGGTGGAGCTCCCTTTGGGCCGCGAAGCGTGTGAGGGGTGTGCCGACATGGGTGCGGTGGTGCCATGCGAACATTGCCATCGGGATCTTCGGTAGAGCTCTCTGTGGGGCCACACAACGTGTGAGGGGTGTGCCGACATGTGACTGATGACGGTGCTAATGCTGATTATGATGCCCATGAGGCTGGCGATGATGGTGCTGATAAGGATGATAATGAGGCGGGTGATGCTGATGCTGATGATGCGTATGCTGATCCTGATGTTGATGTTGATGCTGATGCTGATGACGTTAACGATGATGATGAGGATGATGATGATGATGATGATGATGGTGATGGTGATGGTGATGGTGATGATGATGTCCATATCGATGACGATGACGATGACAACGACGATGACGATGGTGATGATACTGCTGCTTCTGATGATGATGATGATGGGAGTGCGTGCACAGTAATGACGACACGGGGGCCGTACAGTGACACGAGTAGGGGGAAGGTAGCAAGAGCGTCGCGTGCCTCGCCCGTCCCGTGCTCATAGCCTTCTGTTGTTCAGGAGGTTCGCGCGCGCCGCCCGCCGCCGCCAGGCCAGCCCGTGCATGCCAGAGTGGCTCGCGGGCGCTGTGCTGGAGGCTGCGCGGGAGAGGCTACGAACGGTGGGCACCGCGAGCCTGGTCTGGGCTGGGCAAGCCGCTCAGGTGTGCCCCGACTGCACCCGCACTCCCAGCCTGGCAGACCCTGCCCTGCAGTGCCCCCCCTGCACGCTCGGGGGCGCGGCCTGCCCGAGCTTTCCTGAGGTCAGCTGCCTGAGGGCGGCGCCGGACCTCAGCAGGTGGTGGATCTTCGCGGTGGTGGTCGCGGGCCTCGACGGGCTGGCGGCGGGCTGCTGCGCGGGGGCCGTGTTCGGCTCGGGGCTTCGCAGGGCTGCGCAGGGCCGATTCGAGGCCGATCGCGCCAGGTCGCTGGATTCTGGTGTGGTACGAGGGCAGGGAGGCGTACTGGCACGAGCGCCTCCTGCTCTGCAAGGGTCCCGCCGCTCGGCCAGCTGCACACGGCTGCGGAGTGGCGACAGATCTTCGACGACGGGGTCGCGATCGCCCAGATGGAGAAGGCGGGGCTCGGCATCGACGACGACGCTGCTAAAGCTGAGTCTGAGGCTGTGCGTGATCGGGTGGTTCAGCATGGCTGGGCCGCCGACTCAGGCCTGCCGGCTGGACCGCCGCCCGCTGACGCCGGCGCCAGGGCCGGGGCTCTGGTGGCAGACGGGGGCGCGGCTCCCGCGGCCGACGGCCTGGCCGCCCCGCCTGCTGTACCGCTCGCCGCCGTGGGTGGGGGCGCCGCCATCCCGGGGGCTGGAGCAGCCATGGGTGCCGCGGTGGCGCCCGGAGGCGGCCCCGCCCCTGGCCTGCAGGGGATCGTGGTGGCCAACGACGGCCAGCCGGGGGCGCCCGCCATCGGGTCTGACTGGGGCGTGGAGGCCACAGCCAGTGTCGTGGGCAAGTTCGAGCTGGTCAAGCTTGGAACGGCCACCCTCGTGCTGGAGAGCATTGCGGTCGGCAATAAGAAGAATGTGCTGGTCTCGAGGAAGGGCGAGCTTGGGCAGGCGGTGGTCCGATCTTCTGGGCCGGGTCTGCCAGGAGCTGGCCTTGTACCTCAGGCAGATGGAGACGGGCCGGCGGCTGCAACGCCTCTCAAGTCAGCTGTCGCTCGAGTGCTGCCCATGCTGTACGATCAGACTGGGCAGGGGTTCAGGGCCTACACTAATGCTGTCGGGCGGTTGGAGGAGCCACGGTTCGACGACTTCCCGGTGGTGGGCCCTGGAACGACTCTCTGGCGGTGCAAGTTCATCAGAGACCAGGGGATCGTGGCCCGCCCCAGAGCCGAGAAGTGGATGCGAGATGCCCATGTGCCGGACAACGACAGAGTTATGCACGAGCATGGCAGTCTCATGGAGATCCTCGAGGCTGCGCTCACGTATGATCAGCTTGATGTTGCTGCCCTCGCCTCTTTCGGGGTCCTGTCGAGGGGGATTCAGCTGTTGGAGGAGGCGTGCACGTCCAACCCGAAGGCGTCGCAGTTCGAGGGGGGTGGGCACTTCCAGGGCCTTGGCAGGAGAGTCGCGGCCGTGGCGCCTCTACTCACCTCGCACGTGGCGTTGCAGCTGCAAGGCGAAGTTGCGATCCAGAAAGAACGACGCAAGGCCCGCGAGGAGGCGGCCCTTGCCAAGAAGGGCTAGCCGCCCCGCGGTATTTCGATTTTCGTGGCCCAACTCGGGCCGCCACCGAGTTGCTGTCTTCTGCGAGGGCTGCGACGAGTTTTTGACCAAGGCAAGGCGGGAGGTCGACAGCGTGACCTTCTACCTCTGCCTCGACATCGTGATTGGGAAGGCCCTCGCAGCTCGCTCAGTCGTGGCGTTCAATAATGTATTTGCCGCCGTGCTTGGATCGACAGGCGCGCCGACGAGAACTTTTTGGGGTCTCGACGGGCTCGAGGGCATCGGTGACAAGTCGCCCAGCGGTCCTGGTGGTGAACAGTCGCGTGCTGCTGCTGCCCTGGCCCGTGAAGCGGCTGGAGCTGTGTCCTTGCCTAAGGAGGGGCCCGCCCCGCAAGAAGCTCAGGCGGCGCTTCTGCATACAGACGCCCGCTATGGTGACAGCGAGTGTGCCGGGAACGTTGCACCGTTTGGCTCGGCTTCAGTGTCTCTGCCGAGTCGCGACCTGCACGGGGTGGACATCTACGACGTTCTGCCCTCGGACGCGTCGCACAAGTTTAAGCGGTTTTGCGACGCCATCTTTCTCAGTGTCGAGGAGTATGCATTGCATATCAAGAGCGAGGGACTGCCCATTGTTTACTTTGAACCAGTGCTGGAGGCACGTCCTGCGCAGTGGGAGGGTTTTTGTCGGGATATGCGTGACAGTGGACCTGTGCGCTGGACTCGAATTCACAAAGAAAAGGTGGGTTTGTTCTTTGTTCGCAAGAAGAGTGGTGAATTACTACTTATATGCGATGCACGAGGGACCAACATACGATTTGACATCCCAGACTCAATGCATCTTGCTACTGGCGACTCGCCCAGCCTTCTTGAGTGCGCCTCTGACCAGACCATCTTCTCGGCCAGCTCCGATATTAAGGACTACTTCAACGAGCTCAGGATCGATGTGGAATTATCTCAATACTGTGCTCTACCAGCAGGCCGGGCCGCGACTGTGGGGGTGGAGAGCATCAATGGTATCAAGGATGGTCCCAGCGAGCTCTTCTGCCCGTCCCTGCAGTCACTACCGATGGGCTTTTCCTGGGCAGTGTGGGCGGCCCTACTCGTCCATGAGGGGCTCCTGTGGCGGGCTGGTCCTTTTCCAGCTCGCCTTCTTCGCGACGGCGCACCTCCTCCTTTGCTCGGGGGGGGGGGGGGGGGGGGGGGGGGGCCTGTTCAGCTGGCATACGTCGGCTACTTCGGGTTCTTCGGCTGTGACATGGCCGAGGTTGAGGCCGCGCATCGTCTGGCTCTCAGAGGCATTCGGCAAGCAGGCCTTCACGTGCATGAGATTGAGCAGGCCAGCACTCCTTTGGACATCGTGAGAGGGCGCCTCTATGGGAAGGAGAAGGTGGTCAGGCTACCCCCAGCCAGGGCGTGGCGACTGCGCGCGAGGCTACGTGCTCTTGTACGACGCGGGCGCTGCGCTGGGAGGGAGATGCGAACCACGCGTGGGTACCTCTGTTTCGCTCTCCTACTTCGGCGCCCTTGTCTGGCCTGCACTGCGGGCTCCTTCGCCTTTGCCGAGGCTGCTGGAGGGGGGCCAAAGAACCTTTGGCCGAGCGTCGAGAGGGAGCTCCTCATCGGCGCTACCATCCTGCCGCTGGTCTACGTCGACACTGGGGCGGGCTGGCTCGACCAGGTGGTTGTGACGGATGCTTACGATGCTGGGCTTGGCGCCTGCGCTGTTGAGTGGGGCTCGCAAGATATACGAATGACGGGCAGCCGCGACGAGCGCTGGAGGTTCATGAAGGAGGCGTGGGGCGCCAAGCTCGGGTTCAAGCCCGTGGTTCGTTGCGGGCGCGGGCGGCGCAGCAAGATGCTCATGCTAGTGGGCCATATGTCGTCTGCGCTGGCCATGCGGAAGGGCCGCTGTCGCGATCCAGCCCTCCTGGGTCAGCTTCGTCAGATGGCCGTGCTGCAGCTCGCCACTGGGCTGTGGGTACAGTGCCGCTGGGCCTCGTCCGAGGTCAATCCTGCTGATCAACCTTCGCGGATTGGGGAACCTGCTGGTCCTGCTGTGGGCCATGCATGGCGTCACCCTCCCGGGCTTCCTCGTCCTGATGACGGGCGCGGTCTCGAGGGCGCCTGCGAGGATGCGCAGGGTGGCGACGGGCATCGCGACGCGCAACTTGACGCAGCAGGCCATGGCAGGGCCAGTGATGCATCTGGATTGTCACGACCTTCGAGTGCGCGAAGCTGTGCCGCTGGAGGACGACCAGTCGCCTCAGGCCGCAGGATCAGGGCCATCCGAGCGGGCGATCCTGGCCCGGCCCCCGGCGAGGCAAGCCGAGCTTCAAGGCGGCTGGCAGTGGTCGCGAGTCACAACCTCGACAAGGCGGGCTGCCGCCCGGCGCTCGGCCAGCGGCGGAGGCCTCTCCTACCTCGAGAGCATCGCTGTGAGACCCGTCAGGGTCGAGGACTACCACAGGCGGATCGAGGAGTTGCACGATCCTGGTCGCTGATCCTGGGGCCTTCGAACAGCAGCGAAGGCCCCACCAAGGCGATCGTCTACGACAACAACATGACGGTGGACCACGAGAACTTGCAGTTCCTCGGCCACTTCTTCAAGCTGTGCCGCCAGGAGATGGGGACGAGCGACCCGCTGTGGGGCCTGACGCAGGCGGAGTTCAGGGCCATGATCGCGGAGGCGCTAAAGGTGTGCCGGCTCGAGGGCCTGGGGAGCATCCCCTACGACCTTCGGCGCGCAGGCCCGCCATGGGTCGTCATCACGGGCAGGAGATCTCAGGTGGAGATCCAGCGTCTCGGGCGCTGGGCCAGCATGAGCTCTCGCATCAGGTGCAAGCAGTCCAGCAAGGTCATCCTCCTGCTCGTGGGCCTAGGCGACAACACCCAAGAGTACCTCAGGCTCGGCATGGCGCACCTGGGGGACATCCTCCTCAGCGCGGTGAGCGCACCCCGACCGCCTGCCTGGAGCGAGGCTACATTTTCCTCGACATCTTCGCTGGTTCCGAGGGAGTCAGCAAAACAGTGTCGAGGTGTGGCATCTCGGCGCTCGAGGTGCAGCTCGAGCTTGAGATCGACAGTTTTGCGCCTGGAGTAATAAAGGCACTTCTGAAATTGATCCGCTCACGCCGCATATAGATAATGCTCGTGGCCACGACCTACCGCTCAATCAGTATAGCCGGATACTATTCATTCTCCTGAGTATCGTTCATGATCGTGAACCCCGCCTCCTCTATGCTCTGTTTCGCCCCGTTTTTGCAGCGCATCGCAGAATCCGTCCGCTAAGTCTGTTGTGTTCGACCAGTGCCTGTTCAAGAATGACTTCAGGAAGCGGACCGCCATCTTGTATCCTCAGATCTCGACTACTCTTTCCTGAACTGAAGATGTGTGGGCAAACCGTCATATGCTCTAGGTCGTAAAACCCCACGGACTTCTTGGAAAAGGAAAGGGAAAAAGGCTGGATGGAAGACCGACCGTGCTAAACATTACCCACCTCGTCTCTGCAATACTTTCTCCTGCACCTTCAGATCCCCGTGGGCCCAGTAGCACATTGCGAGTTCGATGGCACGGACGACCACCCCTCCAGGATCGGCCTCTCCCTCCCGTACCCGCCCGAGGCCAAAACATCTCTGAGATTCGGGACCTCTTGATGGTGATTGGGGACATAGAGCAGTAGAATTCTATGCGGACTGGTGGCAAGCCTGTGATGAGTCGCTTTGGGATATCATTCTATTGGCCGAGTAAATCGTCATGAGAGTGCGTGCACAGTAATGACGACACGGGGGCCGTACAGTGACACGAGTAGGGGGAAGGTAGCAAGAGCGTCGCGTGCCTCGCCCGTCCCGTGCTCATAGCCTTCTGTTGTTCCCGACCCGACCCGCCCTGGGACATAGAGCAGTAGAATTATATGCGGACTGGTGGCAAGCCTGTGATGAATCGCTTTGGGATATCATTCTATTGGCCGAGTAAATCGTCATGATGATGATGATGATGATGCTGAGGACGACGACGATGCTGCTGATGATGATGATGATCGTACAGATGGTGATGGTGGTGGTGATGATGCTGACGACGATGCTGATACCGACGATGACGATGCTGATGCTGATGATGATGCCGATGCTTATGCTGATGACGATGTTGCTGCTGATGATGATTATGCTGATGACGACGATGATAGTGATGCTGATGATGCTGCATATGATGATGTTGATGATGCTGATGTCGATGATGATGATGATGCTGATGATGCTCATGATGATGACGATGGTGGTGGTGATGATGATGCTGCTGCTGGTGGTGATTATACTGATGCCGACAATGATGATTATGCTGGCGATGCTGCTGGTGATAATGACGATGCTGATGATGTTGACGATCATGATGATGATGACGACGATGATGATGGCGACGACGACGATGGGGACGATGATGATGATGATGATGATGTTGACGATGATGATGGTGATGATGATGATGATGCTGACGATTTCGGTGATGATGACGATAATGATGATGCTGCTGATGATGATGATGAAACTGATGCTGCTGCTGCTGCTGATGATGATGATGATGATGGTGCTGACGATTCTGACATTGATGCTGCTGCTCTTGCTGCTTGTGGTGATGATGATGCTGGTGGTGGTGGTGGTGACGATGCTGTCGCGACTGCCGATGATGCTGATGTTGATGGCGAGGATGCGGATGTTGATGCTGACGATGCTGCTTTTGTTGCTGCTGCTGCTGCCGATGATGAGGATGATGATGATGATGACGATGATGATGATGATGAGGATGATGATGATGATGATGAAGCTGACGATGATGGTTTTGATGTCATAAGCTGATTCTGATGGTGATCCAGGTGAATATTCTGATGACGATGGCGATGAGGATTTTGAGGCTGTTGCTGCTTCTGACGATGATGATGATGGTGAGGATGTTCATGATGCCGATGACGATGATGATGCTGCTGATGATGATTATGATGCTTCTGCGGATGACGATGACAGTGATGGTGATGATGCTGATTATGATGATGATGCTGATGATGATGATGACGATGATGCCGCTGTTAAGGATGTTGATGAGGGTGCTGATGTTGATGCTGACGATGACGATGATGATGTTGATGATGATGAGGATGATGATGATGATGATGATGATGATTATCATCATCATTAGTATTGTTATCATGCTGAGGCCAATGCTGATGCTGATGTTGATGATGATGATGATGATTCTGCTGGCGATGCTGATGATGATGATGATGACGATGATGATGATGATGATGATGATGATGATGTTGTTGTTGTTGTTGTTGTTGATGATTGTTTTTCCTACCTAGGCTCTGCCTAGAAGGGTTCTTACCCTCTGTGCTTAAAGGGCCGGGCAGTGGATAACGCCCCGGGCGGTTCCCCCGGCATCCGCCCCGCGGTTCCCCCAGTTGCGTCTCCTTAGCTTAGCGTTGCTTATCTCATCTTAGCTTAGCTTATTTCATCTTAGCCTAGCTTAGCTTCATCTTAGCTCAGGTTTATCTTAGCTTAGCTTACCTTCATCTTAGCTTCGCTGAGCTTTAGCATAGCAGAGCACAGCATAGCATAGCATAGCGTAGCATAGCATAGCGCAGCACAGCACAGCACAGCATAGCACAGCGCAGCATAGCATGTAGGTGTAGATGTAGATGTAGCTATAGATGTATGTGTAGGTGCAGATGTAGATGTAGATGTAGGTGTATATGTAGGTGTAGATGTAGATGTAGGTGTGAGTGTCGCTGTTGATGTTGATGTTGATGTAGCTGTAGATGCAGGTGTAGATGTTAATGTAGCTGTTGGTGTAGATGTAGATGTTGCTTTCCTAGATGCTCCAACCCCTAGGTAGGGTCGCACTGGGATAATATCACTATTATTATTGCTAGTACTTATCTATTTATTTGTTTATGTATTATCATTCGTACTAGTTTGGATATCCGTACTTTTGGTATGCTGATGATGACGATACTGATGATGATGTTGAGTTCTGGCCGCTTTTCCCACTGCGCGCAGTAGGAGTTTCAGTTTGCAGTGCGATGCATGGCGCATGCGAGACCCAGCCTACAAGGTCGAGCGTCTGTGCCCGTGGAGGCTCCTGAGCCCTCCGGGAACTGTCGAGATGACTGCCCCTCACGGAGCTGCAAAAGACCGAGGGCTGCACTCATCTGGAGAGACGACTCCCCGCTCACACGCGCCCGAGTGACAGAGGAGCTCATGTTCCATATCCGATGGCCTGCAACATGCGGCCTCCTGAGGCTTCGATCCACGATGCGTCCAAGTTGTTGACTGCTGCCATGGCCACAGCTCCTACGGGCACTGCCTCTCCAGTGACGCAAGAAGCCAACATGGTGGCAACAGTATTGCTCCCAAAGTCGCGCGTCGTGGTGTACAGCTCTCACTTTGCAGCCCAATGCCCGTAACGATATCCCGTCTAGAGCGAAATGCTAAGAGCAGCCGCAAAGTAGAGCACCCTCACTATGAAAATGACAATGCGGACTGTGTGCTCGATTTGGGAGAGGGTGATTCAGGCCAGGTCCCTGACGATCTCGAAGAGCGTGTCGATCCCCTCTTTTCTTTGGGCTTCGGGGGCGCGACGCCCTGGCCCACGTCCTCGATGATGCGGCCCACGTCCTTGGGAAACTTGACGCTCGGCCACTTCTCGTTGATCTTCTTATTGATCTCCTCCATCGTGCCATTCCCAAGCTCGAAAACGTGGCCGCACTCCGCGGCTCCGTAGGCACGCTGGGAGGCCGTCAGCGTAGCAGGCGGCGCCGCCACAGACGACGGCGGCGGCGGGAAAGGGTGCGGCCCACCTGGCGGGGCCGCCGCCGCGGGCACCGCTGCGGCGCTCCCCACGGCCGCGGAGGTGCCGACCTGCACCGCGTTGGCACGAGCTTCTTCTTGTAGCGCTTGCGGTGCTTCAACAGAACATTCGCGGCTACTTTAACTTGGGCCTCCGTAGTTGAACTGTTCGAGCTGCTCGAACTATGCTTCTTCTGATTCTTACCACTATCCCGATCATAATCACGATCGCGGTCGTTGGGCTTTGGCTGCCAAGTCGGCGGCCAAGCACCGTATCCGCGAGATTGCCACCTCCTGGAGAAACGGGCCTATGCATGCCCAAAGCACGATTCCCGGCAGGCCTCGAATGCCTGGTCAATCTCTGCACTGGCAACCGTCACAGACTCCACTGGACATCCGCACTTGGAACACCATCTTGAAACGTTACCGTCCACGCGCGTACATGTAGATACCTCGACGACTGCACGTACTCCTGTGGCCATTGTCCCCCACGCTGCAGAAGACGGCATCGCTGGCATGTGCAAGAGTCTCCGAAGACGTGGCTTACCTACTTTCTGTCACCTTTTTCTTCGCCTTCGTCCGTATAGAACCTCGGCTTGACGGCAGCACAGAATTGCTTGTGGCGCAAGCGGCCCCCGCGCCTCCTCGCGGGCGGCGCCGCGAAGCCCGGGCAGGCAAGGCGTGCGCTCGGCCGAACGCGAGGGGCGGAGGAGGAGGAGGAGGAGGAGGCAACTGCGACGCGGAGAAGTCACATCTGATCTTCCGAGTCGAGCCCGCGGCGATTGCATGCAACAGGTTCGCACACAGCTGCCGTAAGACCACGGGGCAGACATGTGACGCATCACGATCGTCAGGCAAGGAAGTCGTGCCCACGGATCCTGCGCAAGATTTCTCGAGCCTTCTGCTCGTGATCCCGCCATGCTGAATGGCACTCTGGTGCCGATAATATCTTGAGCTTACCATGCAGATGCGGCCGTAGTGCTCGACGGACGCGTGGATGAAGCCGATGCTGTTGAACACACACTCTGGCCAGCCGGCTTTTTTTTTGGGGGGGGGGGGCAATGGTTTGGCATTTTTTCAGAATTTCTTATTTCTCGTCCAGAATCCGCCTGTAGGGGGACGTGCCCGACCTAAGCGTAGCACCCCGTGTAGGAACTGATGAGTTAGATGGCGACCTCCGAGCTCTCAGCGGTCAAAATCCACTGCGAGATCGACCCGGCCAGCCACTTTCGACCTCTGTCGATTTGGAACTTCAAAGCGTTTCGAGCTCCTGTCCGCGCTCGTTGCCAGGGGGTGGCAGCGAGTCTTCAATGGGAGTGGTTATGGCCCTCTTTGAGGGGAAGCGGATTCGATACGCAGTTGGCCCGGGGGTTTGTGTTTGGGCGTTTGCGGTGAAACAATAAAGCGTCCACAACGAGATCCGCGACCAAGCCAATGACGGACACGAGACTATGTCATCCTGGTACTCCTACGGTAACGCACGCACACACACACACACACACCCCACTGTTGCCGAAACCAGTGAGAACGGCGAGCAGCACTG